GAGTTAAGAGTTAGTGGCTGTTATATTATCATATTTTTAGTTGTAATTTTTATTATTAGTTATTATACTATATAGCTGCAGTAGGGCGGTAGATTTTCTTAACTTTCTTTTTTACCGTTTTTGTCACCTTAAGAATCAAAGATGGATAAATAAGGTACCTTTATTTTCCAAACATTTCAAAATGTTAGAAGTATAGAAACTATCGAAACTTTTTTATCGATAGCTCGCCACACCATCGCGATTGTTATCGATTTTTAAACATTATTAACATTATTGACTTGCTATCGGTCCATCGCTATCTCGGTGTTAGTATCGCGATTAATCGGTAGTTCGGTGTATTGTTACAGCCTTATTTTGTAAGCGACCACTTGACGCATCGTCTGGCATCTATGTTCGCTTTATGTACCACACCACTCAGAGTATACGAAGAAATTTCCGTAAAAATATAGAACTACACAAGACTGGAGGAACAGTATTGATAACAGGGAAGCTGCAGCGGCGGTCGCTATAGACTTGAGCAAAGCGTTTGACGCCATAAACCACCGCCTTTTGCTCATGCCTTGGAACTGATGTGCACTTATCTGCCGCTGCTGGGTCGTCAACAATGTGTCAGATTAGAAGGCGTATGCTCTAACTTCAAAACAGTCAAAACTGGCGTTCCTCAAGGTTCACTATTAGGGGCCGCTTTTGTTCACCATTTTCATTAATGACTTCAATTTCTGTGTATCTAATGTCTTAGATGTATCTCCCACCATCCTAGAATTTTTCTTCAACAAAGATCTACAAACTCTTTCGTCGTGGTTTGAGTCTAACCATTCAACAGTGAACAGTAGTGAGACTCAAGCATCATCCGTCGGACCCTGTGACTATGATTATTCTATAATTAATTCTTAATGATGCTAGAATAGATTTTCTCAAATCTATTAAGATTCTTGGAATTACTCTAGACAAGGACCTATCCTATAAAGAACACATATCAGATCAATTGAAGCAAGCCTACGCGAAGGCCCCCGCGCTAAGAAGAAAAAGGCGTTTCTTTCCCATGATGTAATAATAGAACTGTATATTAAAGCTGTTAATATATTACCTCACCTAGCTAGAATACTACAGTCCTTTTTTTTAGGCATAGGTAAAGGTCAACACAATCGTCTCGAAGATGGCAACAGTTCTACTTTGAGAACATTAATCGGGCACAACAGGTCGTGATCAGTGTCATACGATGAGCTGCTCACTACGGCTAGCAGGAAATCCTTATATTGTAGGCGCTTACATCAGGCGTTAATAATTCTTTTTAAAAGTTCAAGTGGTATGGGACTTACTTATATTGGAAACCTTTTCAAATAGAGGCATACACAGTATGGGCTAAGAGGCGACGGCTTGAATATGGAATTACCTAATTTTAATCTTTAATTTAAAAGGAATTCTTTCACTTATTTATTAACCAAGTTATGGAACAGTTTTCCCTCTCGAGTACGTCTTTCAAGTGATGAAAATGACTGTAAAAGTAAATTGCAAGATTTTTGCTTTTTAGAACGTGTCTTATAGTTTTCTTTTTATGTTTTTAGTATATAGTTTTTTAGTAGGTTTTAAGCTCTTGATATTTTATGTTTTTATTGCTAAGTAAGTTTATATATTTGATGAGTTGTTTTTAAAATAGAATATTGTTTATTTATTTATTTATACACTTGCCACATAGAATAAAATAATGTTACAGAAATTTTTACAAAGATTTCATATTTACAGGGAAGGAAGAGCTACAATAATAGTTCAACATTAAATGTATAAAATTATGTGACTTAACTTTTGTAACAGTTAAAGTGGCGAGGAAGCCCACAAGTTGAAGTATATAGCTTGTAGAAATATGGGCTCCTCATATTTTGTTCTGATTTAGTGTAAGCTGCCATATCATGGTAAGTCGAGTTTAATTTATAGCTCTCTCGATAAGATATTTTTTTTAATGATGTCTTGAATCTAGAGCCGGTACCTTGTCAGCTGCGTAAGATAATGGGGAAGGGAGTTTCATAGTTCAGGTCCCAGGTGAAGGATTGTGAACTGTTTAAGGTTGGTTCTACAGAAATATGGTCGGTAGAATTAGCATTTCGAGGATTATATGTGTGTACGTGGCGATGAGTATCAAAGATGGTGTTAAACGTTTTACAAAGGAGGTTGTTGTGATACGAGTACATAAAACACGCAACAAAGAACGAGTTGATGTTAAAAATACCAAGGATATTAAGAGTCCGAAATAGAGGTGCAGTATAGGCAAAATACTCTGCTCCACAAATGATTCTGACGATGCCTTTCTGTATATGTAGAGAAGCCTATTCAAATTGGATCGATACGTTGAGCACCATGCAATCTTACAGTGGATAAGAAGGAGGAAAACCAATGCATAGTGTAGGGATAACAAAGATTTAACAACAAACAACAACAACAACAACAATATATTTATTTAAAGAAATATAAAGTTTACAATACTTTACGTCCTGCAAATAGCTATAATGCTAATCTAGGCAGGACAGGATTTTAAATAAAGACGTTATTAAATTACATAAGAAAAAAGAAAAGAAAAGAAATACAAAAACATACAGAAAGAAACACCTTTCATATAAGTTCAAGTACAGGGGATTTTGTTGTTTGAAAAAGACTAAAATTACAACTGGAGGTATATACAACATATCAGGTTAACTTCACAAAATATTCTATTAAATAATTAACATTCAAATAATTATCTTCATTACCTAGAACATTAAGGAGTAGTGATTTAATTTTTTTACAGCTGAAATCTCTCCCTTTCGTTTAAGGTTTTCCTTCTGTAGATTTTTAACTTGACTCATTTTAGTTTACGATATAAGGCATTGGTACGTTTTGAGTTTTAAACCGGCATGTGCGGAGCGCCCGCCGACATGACCGGTCATCGACTTACTTATAGTCTGATACCTTTTTACAAACATGATTTATATGATATTTCCAAGAAAGATGCTGATCTAATAAAACACCAAGAAACATCAAGTGTCACTTTTAGCGTAATTGTATCAGTAACAGTAATAGGTTTTTGCCTGGGTCGAAAAAGAATATAATTTGATTTGGCGACGTTGAGCGATAATTTATTTGCCTATATTATAACTGTAGTTATTATAGACTTTATTTAAACACGTTCGTATTTTGAACGGGTTTTGTTTAGCTCCTCGACGTAACGAGTTAAAATATATGATCGACACTGATTTCAATACCAATAAAAAAGAAAAGAACTAAACCAGAGAATAAAATTCGCAAAAATCGCACCTCCGGCCCCTGCTGTCCCAGACTTGCTTGAATCTTATTGTAATGCCATTTGTAAAGCAATTTGATTCATTTTGGTGCTAAAAAACGTATATAAGAAATAGCTGGACTTATACACATGTATTTTATTGACTTAAGCCTGGCTTTTTGTTTTGCAAGCAGACTTGTACCAAGTTCCTTGGTGATATTTTTTGTTTTGCTCAAACATTAGCAACAAATATTATTCCTCTTATCATCCACTTTTGGTTGCATCAGCCGCATTCAAGACGATTCTTCAGGGTTGAAAAATTCATGATAAAAGTTTGCGAACGTCATACAACTTGGCTCATATTGCCTGATTGGTTGTATTCCAGCTTTTTCTTGTTGTTGTAATATAATGACCAACGGGGGACCAGTTTTGTGGTGCATAAAACAGCCAAGCTCATTTTAGTTTTTTTGCACATGCAAGAAAGACAGGTCTTTGGAAGGGTACCTTTACTTGGTGGTCTGGAGAGCCTTTTTATGAAGGATTTCAAGTTTGTCACGACATAAAGGAAGCTAAATGTTTTTATATATAATAATAATTTTCCATCATCACCTCTCATCGCCTACACCCTCGACCTCCTTGTGGACAACATATCGGTGATTTCATCTTTCCATCCTAATTAAGATATTTTAAGCCAAGGTTGAAAGTTTAATATATCGTCAGGATTCTGTCCTCAAGTGTTATTTGTCAATCAGAGAAGGCCTATTTATTTCAATGCTTGTCCCACAGCCTGATGGGTCTTTAAGTATCTTAGTAGGTACAGGAAGGAGGCTGAAGCCACTGGGTTCAACACTACTGCCGAGAAGTTTACATTCACATAGCAGCTTTAGGTATGTACTTGCTTTCTTTGACAGTAAACTAGCACATTGTCACTTCTTCGCACTTAATTAGTCGGGATAAAGTCTCATGCCATTTCATTTTTTGCATCGAGCCAGCGTTTTATAATGGTCGTTTAACATTACCATTCAACTAAAACCACACCTTTTGTGAGTCACTATTTATCTTTTAGGATTAGGAAAATTCGAAGTAAAATTAGAACGTTTTCAGGTTTCCACTTTGAGCATTACTATTAGTAGGAGTCAAGGGGCCATTTCTCTCATTCGTTAACATCACGTCAGTCGCCATGAATACTGCATTGGAAACGAAGATTAAAAATCAATCATCGCCCATGTTGATTATACCTTTTCTAGCACATAGATCTATAAGTTCAGGATTACTTGTCTTCAGATCAGCTGAAAAAACTATTGCATTCAAGACAAAAGACAACTTGTTTAGAATTTTCAGGAAGTTGATGGTTTTTTATTATCTTGGCAAAGAACAATCGTCAGTTGCTATCAAACACATTTTGCCGCTAAATACATTGGATATTCAGCTGTTATTTAAAACAGTCAACTAACATTTTCATAGATTATTTGAGACAAAAGCGATCTAGAATCATAAAATCAAAGCTGCGAGTATACTGATCGAGGTACAAAAAAGTAATCAGACTGGCTTTGCGTTAATGAGACTTGCAACTTTTCGTTTTTACATTTGTAATAACAACGACAAATTGTCTTTTTCAAGAATTTTGTGGTACAACTTTATCATGAACATGGTCAAACCATTTAACCTACAATCATCGTCAAAAGTGTTGGGAAGGTTGCCTTTTTTATCTCTTCTTTTCCTTCCTCCCCCCGCCCCTGGCCCAATGTTGATCAAAACGTTAATGTTTGTGCGCGTAATTGTTCTGTTATATCCCAACATTGAACAGGGGGGACGGGGGATATTTAGCAAAAGAGAAAACTCTCTTTTTTCAGGATTAAAATGGACTACTGTTAAGTTGTACAGCCTTCCCAACTACTTTTGTCTTTGATTGTCTGAAAATTCTGGGTGTGGCCGTGAAAGATCAAAACTCGACGACTTTTTGTCAGTAGAAACGTCTTCAAAAAACACTCGTAAACAGTACTGTGTTGAAAAAAAATATTTGCCGTACCTTGTTAAGACAGTTTTTGGCGCACACGCCTGTTTATATTCGGCATGTTTTGCAACCCGGTAAGTACAACTATTGCTCTTTCCGGGGCACAGGAAGAGGGCCAAAATACAAATGTAAGACTATTTTCGGTGAAAACTATTGACTGTAGCATAGGCTGATATGCTCCAAATCTTAAAGCAAGATATAGTGCGTTCGCCACTTCCCGCAGAAATCATTCGGATTGCGACAGTGTAGCTGACATCTTCCTTAGCACTCCCCACTTCTTTACAACATTCAGCACATGCCAATTTTGCCAGGCGAGCAAACTATGAGGCTGAGTGGAGATTTGCCGAATTCTAGAGGCTACTTTCTCCGGCTGAATAACTCTAGTTAAGCTATTGTGGCACTGCTTTTCGAAACTGGTTTCAGAAAACGACAACAAACTACGCTCTTGATTTAGAATAAGGCGTCTATTCTCTTCGTTAATCTAATTAAAAAGGGTAACACATGCAAAGTCATCACACACCACATTACTCCATTTTCGTAGCCGAAAATAATTCCTTTATAGTAGCGCTAACGACAAAATAGCCTCATTGACTTGTTCGGGGCTTTGCAACGACTTAACCAAACGAATTTTAATAGATATTTTAGCTCAATTCTAAGTAAAATACAACAGTACTCCATGGATGGCGTTAAAATTAAACTAACTTTGCTAATTGACCTTTATGGGGCACTGTTTAAATGGAGTAATGTTGGGAAACAGTTGTTAAATTTATCTCCGTAGATAAATGCCACAAAAGCTTCCATATTCTTACATGATTTACATGTTTTTACCCTTTTCTTGTTTGAAAGTTGGTTCATTGTGCATATATTTCGCATTTTCTTGTGGAGTAATGTGATGGAGTAATGTCGAAACCCATGTTGTTTACTGTTCTCAAATTAACTGAATGATTGACAGGCGACGCTAGCACAGCAATTTCTATATGAACACTGAACATGGCTGAATGAACTCTTTTATAGAGGTTCCGTATAACTTTCAGGCCTTGCGAAAATACAGTCTAGAAGATTTTAATGCGGCACTTATCTCACTGCTTCCTCGCAACTACAAACATCACGTTTTTCTAGGATACTTTGACACCGCCAGAATGCAAAAAAAAACTTTATTGTGGCAGCCTTTATGCCATTTCTATTTGTAACATCTTTCAAAATATTTCGCTGATAGGAAACGGCAAAAGTTAACTAGGAATAATGCCGCTGATGAAAAAGATACATGTATACATGACAACGACAGCAATTGTATAGCATTTGTTGCTCAAAAATACTCTCATGACTTTTCGTTAAATCTAGTGAAACAGACCACCTGTGGCCATTCTTTCTATGTAGTCCACGCGAAGAAAACGTCTGTTGGTTCATGAGGAAATTTAAAGGCCTTAAATGTTTTTTTCTGACGTTCTTAAAAGAATGCGTTTTCACCCAGTGGACTTTGTGGTCACGCTGTGAAATGTCTCGCACGTCTGATGCAAAATTCTCCTATTTATGATTTTACTGAAATATAACCTTTATTGTATTTTTTATATACTTTGGAAAGTGCATTATTAGCACAGTTCCCAGGCGAGATATCTCAATCAAATGTTAAATGCGACAAGTTTTATATTCGTTTAAAGTTGATTTCCTATTCTCCTACAATCATCGTCAAAAGTGTTGGGAAGGTTGCCTTTTTTATCTCTTCTTTTCCTTCCTCCCCCCGCCCCTGGCCCAATGTTGATCAAAACGTTAATGTTTGTGTGCGTAATTGTTCTGTTATATCCCAACATTGAACAGGGGGGACGGGGGATATTTAGCAAAAGAAACTCTCTTTTTTCAGGATTAAAATGGACTACTGTTAAGTTGTACAGCCTTCCCAACTACTTTTGTCTTTGATTGTAGATTCTGAACTAGATTCAGCGCCCAGAGGGCATCAAATGCGGGCCAAAAGAAACAATTTGTTACAAAACTCAAAGCCCCTTTCAAACTGTTATGTTAGACTGTCTATGTTAGACAATGTTAGACGATTATCTTGGGGCGACGTTGAAACTGTATAAATGTTTCCAAAAGTTTCAACTCCATAGACCTGACAAAACATCGCAGCCAACACAGTGCTCAAACGCATTCGTTGGTCAGCTTTCTGGATCACTTCCTCAACGTTATTACGCTTATCTTTTACAGTTTGACTCAAACGTAAAAAATCCTTCAGTCATTGTTGTTATTTTACCAGGATTTTTCGGTGAAGCAGTGTTTTTATTAACGGTGTTCCACTGTATTATATTTTGTATCGACTTTGACATGTTTATGAGCACCTCTTTTGTGCCAACATTGTATTGTTACCTCAGTTAGTTATGCTGTTTTCTGTTTTTTTTTATGATCGAATTTCAGAAAACTTGATAATTCAATGCATCAGTTACGACAGATGAAGTTTTTCCTGTTGTTCACTACCTTTGGTGTCCTCTCAAGCGAGAGTGAGTATCTAATGAATAACTTACATTATTATTCATTCAAAATATTTCCCCCATTCTGATTGGCTAATAGCACACGCATAATTCACCATAACCAGCTAATGATGACCAAATTTGGAAGAATTTTGCGATAAATCAACCGATGACGTCAAAAATGCAGCTTTCTGGCAGGTTAATGCACCGTTAACCGAGAAGACCTGGGAACGAGGTTGAGTTGTTTTGGTTGTGAAAACAAAAATGAGGGACATTTCACTCGTTTCAAGTGTAAGAACTAGGCTAAATAATAACTAAAATCATGGCTAGGACAGCGAGAAGACATCTCGAAAGGCGACATCTGCTATTTGGAGAATATTTGCGGAGCTGAACAACCCTAAACGTGCACTATGAGTTTATCAAAGATGATCTTAACATCGATGGAGGTAAGCATGTTTTAGCTATGTTTTTAAACCAGGAATTATTTTGAATGAATAATAAAACAATTATTTAATTCGGCTTTCGTATCATATGAAGAATTATGGAGATCTCGGAGGGTGTTGTCCGCCTCGACGGATAACACCCTCTTTGATCTCCATAATTCTTAATAAGTTACTCAGCCTCATTCATTAATTGTTAATAAATAACATTATTATTCATTCAAAATATTTTCCCTATTCTGATTGGCTAAAGGCACACGTTTAATTCACAATGTAACCAGTTACTGATGACCAAATTTGGAAGAATTTTGTGTTTAAGGAGGAAATGACGTCAAAAATGCAGCGTTTTCGCAGGTTAAGGCACCGTTAACCGAGAAGACCTGGGGACGAAGTTGAGTTGTTTTGGTTGTGAACTTGAAAAATAGCGGACATCTTACTCGTTTCAAGAGTATCAACTAAGCGAAAAATAGCTAAAAACATGGCAAGAACAGCAAGAAGACAACTCAAAGGGGACATCTGCTATTTGGAGAATATTTGCGTAGCTGGACAAACCTAAACGTGCACTATCGAAGATGAACTTAACATCGATGAATTCGATGGAGGTAAGCGTGTTTTAGCCATGTTTTTAAACTAGGAATTATTTTGAATGAATAGTAAAACAATTATTGAATTCGGCTTTCTTATCATATGAAGAATTATGGAGATCTCGGAGCGTGTTATCCGCCTCGGCCTAAGGCCTCGACGGATAACACCCTCCTCGATCTCCATAATTCTTCACAAGATACTCAGCCTCATTCATTCATTTTTAAATAACAATAACAAAAACAACTTACAACTTACAACAACAATATTTGTTCCTAACATTTGCTGCAATTGATTAAATTGATTCTAGTAGTATTAAGCGTCTATTAAGAGAGTTCCTAAAAGAAGTTTTAAGTTTAGCGGTGCTCTGATTTGGAACCAACTTTCCACTGAGGCAAATCTTTCCGAGTCACTCCCTTCATCTTAAAGAAGCTCATTAGAATGTAGTTGGGTGTTGCCAAGCTGTGTATATCCTGTATTTCGGTCTGTCTGAGGTCTATCTGTCTGTTTGCCTGTTGTCTGTTTGTCGGTCTGTCTGTCTGTTTGCCTGTTGTCTTTCTGTCTGTCTGTAGTAGTAGCAGAAGTTGAAGTAATTGTAGACGTAGCTAATTATAATTAATTTACATTTGTCCTGACCTTTACGGCCTTTATGTGTCAACACGCCCTCCATGGAAACGTACCAGCCATATGTGTTTATGAGGTTAGCGTGTTTTTCTTCCGATTTGAATTTTTTTTTAAATGAAGTATTATATCTACCTACCTATCAGTCATCTCTACCTGCCTACCTTAGCCACTGTCGGCCTTAAGTTTGTTAGTTAGCTGATGACGTTTTCAGACCACTTAAAACCGAAGTTAAGTAAGGACCTTTTACCTGTTTTTACTTCTAAGATATTGTTAATGTATTTGAATATTTGTCGACGAGTTTCTTTGTAATTTATTACGATCGGATTAAGCGTTATTAGGTTGATAAAGAAATCATTTTTGTTATTTTAGAATTTATTTTAGAATTTGTACCTTTTTTTCAGCTACACACGAAGAATGGGGCTATGCAGATACGAACAATGATGGTTTGTATAAAGCAACAATGATAATTAATCACTTCCTTCGATCTGTACCGTGAGAAACCCGAAGTCGTTCTGATATTAGGGGCAATTTGTAACATTATACATGAACTATTAATAATTAAAAACGAGATAGCAAGATATCAAGTACTCGTCTTGGTCTTTTTTTTGCTACGCAGAATGTAATTTGTTTTTGATCCTTGAGATTTTGGCACAGCACAATTTCTTCTGAACGCACTCCAAGGTCTAGAAATAAATTATATGAAATCAATGATTGTCATGGGAATTCGTTGTTTTTATTTGCCATTGGTAGTAATAAAAAGTCTCGCGACTAGGTTAGTATGTGCGCTTTCACCAAAAGAAAGGGCTGACTTATATGTTTTCATCGAAGTCTTTTTTCTTAATTGAGTTGCCAGCTCCAATAATGATTACTCAGAGTAGTTCACTAGCAATCTATGGAAAACCTCGTTGTAATAAAAGGAACAGGAATCATGAATTTATCCAATCTTGTCATTAGTAATTGCACCCCCAGCCCGCCAACACCGGGCAAATAACCAACACTTAAATAGATGAGTGGAAGGAACATTTACTAACACTTAAAAAACGGGAAAAAAGGACGGTTGGGCGGATGAAATTGAAGACTATTAAAAAGGATTGCAATTCGGGATTTAAAAACTGTTCCGTCCAACATTTTTAAAGCGGGTTATTTTTGTTTGCGAGTCACTCAGTTTTAACGCTCGCGAGACATTTCTGATCGTCATAATACAACTCGGTGATTTTATCATATAGGCACGATTTGTTTTATACGGTATGTTTCACAGCGAGATTTTTAAGATCAAAACTGAATGGACTAAAGTAAAAAGATCGTTTGTTTTAAATGAGTCCTTTTTTGAAATTAATTACAGTGCTAGGCCCACCAGACTGGAAAGATAGATATGAGGACTGTGGTCATCGAAAGCAATCCCCAATAAACATCGTTAAAAGCGAGACCATCAAGAAGAGCTTCAGTCCTCTAAAAATCACTTTCGACAACGCAAAGGGCCTTGTAACTGGAACGTTTAAGAATACTGGACATTTACCAGAACTTGAAATTGCTGATTCCAATGGAGCTTCACTGACTAAGGGTCCACTGGGGCACAAAACGTTTGAATTGCTCCAGTTTCATGTTCACTTTGGCTGTGCTAATGATCGCGGATCTGAGCACACCCTCGATGAAAAACGATTTTCAGGTGAGGTAAGTGACAAAAACCACTTGAAACCTTTTGTGTGTGTGTCTATCTGTGGCAGTAAAATCTCAGTTTTCTTGTAGCTAGGCCCTGGACGGTCTGTCAAGGCACAAATCCGCTGGTCAAAACGATCGCCCAAGACAAGATAGCCTACCTTTCCGACACTAGGAACTGACCGAAGTCATAAGCTCCATTTTTCAACTGCAATTATACTGATAATAACTAGGGGTACCTTCCGGCAAGTGCCAACGAAGTGAATTTGTTTATCTTTTGTGGAATGTGCCTGTTCAGATCTTCGCGATATTTTTTTTCATGATTTTAGAGGTTTAAAATGGATTCCGCTATAGAAAAGGATGGCACCCAACTTCAAAACAACACCTTTGGCACATTCTAGGCTTTCACTTTTATTCAGAACAATAGCAACATCGCTTGAAGCTTTGTTGGTAAATATGAGCAAGTTTGTACTTATGTTTCATGGAAAATTCCATTGTATGAAAACGTTAGAAAGAACGTAAGAAAGATCTCAAATGAGTCCTTTGACTGCTGAAATTAAAAATAATAAGGAAATTCCGAGCAACAGCGTCATCAGGGATAAGAAAAATATTTTGCTTGGTAATATATACATAAAAAAAAATTGGTGTAAAGTAAAATGTGTCAAAAGCGCAAGAATGGGGCGGAATGTATCAGAGGTACGAAAATAAAAACTTGAATAATATACAAAGATTTAATGAGCGAGTGTCACAGGACAAAGAGTCTCTTGAAATGCATATTGATAGTCTTCAAAACAACTTCTTTGCATTCCTCACGGGAGTTTTGGGCTGTCTCAATGTAAATCGAGCAGCGAAAAAACATACTGGTTGACAAAATCTCTCGAAAGACATGAATAAATTCTAAAAAAGAGGCCGGCAAATACGTCGCATTCTTCACGGGAGGTGAGGACTGGCTCAATGTAAATCGACCTGCGAAGAACACGCTGTTTCTGATAAACGTTTTGAGAATATAACCCTATGCCTTGATCAACTACCGCTTAAAATTCAACTCACAAAGGAAAAGAGAATCCTGAAAACCCTGGTTCTGAGTCGAGAAGCGAACACGTTACCTCAGTGTAAATCGAGCTGCAAAGAACAAGCTGAGTCTGACAAAAATTTGAGCGTAATCCTATTCCTTGATTAGCTGCTGCTTTAAACGCAATTTATAAAGCAAACCAGAGCACTTAAATTGCCTTTCCAAACTAGAAATCGTATTAAAGCCTGCTCACCTGTTGAGTCCTCTGAACAGACAACGAACAGCTGCACACTGAATCACCTAATCGTGGATTTGCCTAGTCCCTAGGCCTCATTATTATGCGAGGCCGATGCGTTTCGGGTCACGTGGTCCGAGAAAGTTTTTGAGGCCTAGACAAACTCGGAGAAGTGAGACATTTTGTCTCACTTGGGGTGGAGTTTTTGGAAGCGGGCGAGCTGTCAATAACTTTTCCGCGCTGATGAAAGATGTCCAGCAGCCACGGAGCGGAGCTCCACGCGAAGCGCGCGCGTGGGCAGAGCCCCATAGCTAAGGAAATCTACCCATCCCAGAAAATTTGGTAATCACGTGACCGACCGACCGACCGAGCGACCGATCGTCCGTCCGCACCGCAGGCATACCAATGTTTACTCTCACACTTTCTAGCTACTTTGGGAGCCCAGGAGAAAGCTGATTGCAAATCAATGTTGTCATCAATTGACAGCTGTCAAAACAGGGTATCCGCTGACCACTATCACCTGACCGAATCGTGGGCTCAGGTATCGACCCATCGAGGTCGAGTATTTTTTGAAGTTATCCGCTGTCAATTTACTCGTTTTCAAATGATCGCAGGCTCACGTTTACTTTTGTTTTAAATTCATATCAAATATGTTGTGTTTATGTCAGTATCGCCCCGCACTATTACGATTTTGATTTCAAACTGACTTCAGACGCAGACATTCAGCCAGTTTTTTTAAAATACAGGCGGGGAAGACCTTTTCTTACCATGGTCACGTGTTGGTCACGCTCCACGTCCAATTTTTATGCTCTGATTGGTTTAAATTTGATAGGTGACTTCATGCGTAAAATTTATGCAGCATCTTGAAAGTTGTTTAATTTGACAGCTGAAGCTGACAGAGTTTTGAGTCAACTTGAGATGTTTTTAACTGTCTTTTTCCACTGGATGTACAAAATGAAATACAGCTGCAATCAAGAGTGTTCTCTTATTCATGGCTGGTTTGTTTATTGGGTTTTTGGTTGAAAAATGCGTCGCTCGTCAAAGCCGATAATCCGATTTCGGATGGCATCGTTTTTGTTTTTCACCTTGCTGGATGCATGCGAGAATTATAAAGGCTCAAGCGATCCTTGCCTAACTTGATAGCTTTCAGGAGCTGCGTCTCGAAATATGGTAAGCCTGAGTAATTATTGTATTTAAATCTAATTTCACGAAGTCCAGCGGCGCAGTTTATGAAGCTAGTTTATGCACGTTTGTATTAAGATTTGACTGAGACACTGATCTGACCTCGTATGAGGTTTGATATAAGCTTAAGCTTACAGAACTTTAAAAAGCCTTTAGTCGATATTAATTCACCTTAAATAGAAAGAAAAAACGTTCCGAGGAATATTTAGTTATAATTTTGGCTGTAGAAAGAAAGCCTTGAACGATTTTCTTTTCGTGAGTTCATCTTTTAAAACAGCCAACACCGGGAAACCGGCGGCTTAAAACATAAATTTTAAGCTTACTAGTAAAGACTTGAGGATTCTTAGACACACTTAAATACTCATTTGTTTTCGTGAATGAAAATTGTTGTCTCTGTAAATGTTCTATCGAATTATTTTTCTTTATTGATATTTGGTAGTCTCAAAAGTGTAATTTTCATCGCTTTGCCGTTTGTTTTCAGGCGTTCATAAACATCGCTCGCAGTAGTACTCAAAATGCCAAGCGCATCAAACGCTTTTTAAGATTACACATCGTTATAAAACCGTTAATAAAAAATAGACTCAATAAATTCTTTATCACGTTGAAGCGTAACTCTTTTAAAATTTCTTCGCAAATTTGGCGCTTGTCAAAAGTTAGAACCGGCTGGCCGTATAGGTGATTTTGGAAATTTTTTGAACGGTTTCGCTAATTAAAAGTCCACGCGTGCCTCTATGGAATATTGAATGAATGCAATTTGCCTTGAAAAATTGTGAAATACCGCATTTTGTACGAGGTCTGTATGACAAAAACAACGCCTCATAGTACTCTTTCTCCTCAGATGTGGTGTATAAAAAAAAAATAAAAGATTGGTTTGCACGCACCCAGAATTACTGGCAAGAATTTGTAAACTTGTCGAACGCATGTTTTGTACGCCTTATCTACTGTGATCAAGAGCCATCATTGCTCTTCAATGTGACCGAAGACTATTTTTTGGGTGTACATATAAGGCTATATCAACTCGATACAAAATTTGTTTCACTCCAAAATCACTTAGCTTTTCCCTCAAAAGTCACATGAATGTGCCCTTACGTTAACTGATTTGCGGAATACAAAATTATTGTTTGATTTAAGTTATAAATTTATCAATGGGAGCTTCGCTTTTAGCTGTGGCTAAATATATATATTATTCTATGCACGTTTTCATTGTTGAAAGTCGTTTGGCCTTTCTTTTTCATTTATCTCATTAAACTAATTTGAACTTTATTTCATCTCAAAAACTATTTGTAGGCTAAGCAAAACAGCGTCGCAAAAAAAATTATTTGATCAAGAATCGGAAGGTAAACTAAAAAGAAATAAGTTTATATTTATTCTTGGATATGACAAGCTATCTTTCGTTTCTCTATTTTCGCTTGCTCCTATAAATTTCTCGTTATCATTTCACTTCGAAATACTTTATGTAATTTAATTTTTGGATTTGGAAGCTTATCAAACTAATCGGACAAGCTGTTGAATTTGGTCCCTAAATTTGGTAGAATGTCAGCAAATACTGTTTCAAATCTTTTTATCAATAAGGACTATCATTTTAATGTTCATTTGAAGATGAACTAAAAGAGAAATTACTTGCACGTTATACAGTAGTATTCTTTCCGATTCAAAGTAATATTCTTGTTCTTCTATAACACGAACTAGGTTAGTTATTTTTGTAATAGTGCCAATAGTGCCGATCTTTTGCGAAGGATATTCACGCGCAAAGTTATTTATAGATAATTTCAGTTGACCGTGTGAACTTTTCAAAAATGCAAAAATGCTCACGCATACGCACTCCGAGATTGTCTAGGCGTCTCCCGGCCGTTCGACTCGGATACGACACCGAAATGCATTGACCGAGAGAGCCTGACAAGACGCCGTACAGGGACTAGGCAAATTTCGGACCACGAGTTGTAAATACAAGCCCATGACGTCACTACCCAAATATGGGGTCTTCCTCACTCCCAAATATGGTCAAAAATGCAGCTTTTGCCTACATTGCGCGGCGTTATGATTCTGCCTTCGAGGCAACCTTCCTTCTTAGCTCAGTTGCCTCGTTGGTAATACCCAGGATGACAATGGATATTTCGCAGCCAGGTATTTCCTTAGGATTCCGTCTCTTAATGGGACGTTTGATCTACTTGAAACAAATGTTGCCCACAAGAAAATTGTTAAAAAATGGTGATTAAAAGTAAAAAAAAAACTATTTTTATCATAATTCTCTCAGGCTCCCACTCCCATAAACTTTGGAAACCCTGACACTGCTTAAGGATACGACAAACGAACATTTATACCCTATTGAAAGCTCAAACCCAAAAATGGGTAATGAATTCAAGGGAAAAACAAGAACAAAGAATTTGAAAATAACACAAGAACCTATATTAAATCGCCTTCATCATACTCCAAAGTTTTTTCTGTTTATGCATCTACCGTATAAAGCCTTCTATCGAGGTCCTCCTGAAATGAATTGGCACATTTGGTCCACTTAATGTAATAAAGATCGTCACGTTTTTGAAATCCGCAATTACTGGGTTATTCTTACCCCCCCCCCTACCAAATCTCGAAAATGTGCGAGTAACTCTGTTGAAAATGCAATCCCTTCATGATAGTCAATCCAGTGGTAAAAATGCGACCCCATCCAGCGGCACATCCCCATTAGCCTATTACTAGGAAGTGCCCTCCGCCCCTTCCCCGCCAGCCCCTGGGTGCGGCACATACTTATCTACGTGCAAGAACCAATTGTCTTGTGACTTAAAAAGAAAGGTTTTATTTTGCCTGGCGCCGAACACGTGCTTTTGCTTCCACTTCTGATTGACCAGTTAGCATGTCTACGTCTGCAATGTGATTGGCCAGATGAGCTACGTTAGTTTTTGTTTGCAACACATTATTTTCGCAAAGGGTGACACGCTAGGATGCGAAAGTATGAGTGAAGCATGCCCTTCCAGAGGTTTTAATTTGAATGGAATCCCTCGTAGTCTCTATACGCGTCCCGTTACTGGAATAAACTCATTGTGAATAACTGTGAGCTTTTGCTCTTTTCCTCAGCTTCATATGGTATTTGACGGCCCTGGAGAAGAGCTAGCAGTCGTAGCCCTTTGGATTAAGGTACACCCTGTATACTTCTCTGGTTACTTTTCCTTATTCCCTAGCAATAACAAATATGTGAACAAATCGCGACGCAGTTTTGCGTTTCTTTAGTTGAATAAGTTAGCGTCAAAATAAAAATTATTTCAAGGAGTCAATTTTTTTGACAACAAAATGCAATTTATATGACCCTCCGAAAAAAAAAATCATAATACTTCATGGTTAAAAATTAAAATTGCTGTTTGTCAATTTATACAAGAATACCTTTATTGTGTCCTTATAAATTAACAAAAAAAATGTAGTCTCTTTCTGCCAGTTCATTCTCGTCTTCACTTGTGATCTGCGTTAAAATTTTCAAACACTGGCAGAAAGAGAGGTTTTCCCAAAAACAATAAACGAGCGAATCCTTCGACAATGACAACAAAATTACCTTGAAAAGCTTTTTTGCCTTTTGCAGTGTTTTGTTTACAAGGACAAACGGAGGAAAGACGGAAACGACTTCTAGACAGACAGTGTCCGGTTTCCAAAATACTCCAGGGTTACATTAAAGGGCTAAAACTTACAGTGCTCTTAGTTTTGACAGAAAAAACTTTTTCAACATGGCGAATTTGTTTTTAGTTCCTCGGAAAGCCTTTGTTATGTGCTATTGTTTTCGTGCGCCAATAAAAACTTTCTTTTTTGACGCCTGTCAAATGACTGTCAAATCGTGCGTCCTGCACTTTTGTTTCCGGTCCCCCAAACACGAAGACTCCGTATAATAAACATCTTATCAGCCTCGTTTTTTCGGTCCGTACTGTAAATTACGGATCCTCGTTTTTTTCCATCGATTTATGGCCCGCGCGCTCCGTGCTTGGGCCATAAATCGTTGAAAAAAAAACTCCGTTCGTAATTTACAGTACGGACCGAAAACTCGGCTAATAAGAGCTATATATTTCAGCTTCCTTGGCTGCATCTACGAAAAATGTAGAAGTAGAAGGGCGATAAATAAAAGGTTGCAAATCACATAAAGTTCGGTCCATTGAATTATTTACAGGCGCCCTCCAAAGGAAACAAAATGTTTGGAAAGTTAGCAACTCTGACACAATACATCCTCGAAGTTAGTAGGTATATCAGAATACTTAAAAAAGGTTAAAAACGAAGAACATGTGAACAAATCCTTACTTTCCCTTCTCGCTTTTATTCTCTGTTTACTGGCAATCGGCGACGCCCGCCTTCTTCTTCCTACACTTGCACAGTTTATCAGCAGTCATTTTATCCTTTAAGTTCCAATATCCACGGACAAATTATCCAGACCGATCTTCATGCATTTCCTTAAAGAATAGGTCGAGAGATTTGAAAAAAAGATCAACGCACTTTCTGTTTGGCAATCATTTTATTAATTCACTACCCCAAAAATTTATTTTACACCAAATTTACTCAGTGCAAATATGGTGCATGAACAAAGTGCAATTTACGGTTAAATCAAGAGCAGAGGTGTTAAATACCTCATTTGCCCTCAAATTTACAACCCATGTCAATTGGGATGCAAATGAGGTATTTTTATTACCATCTTTGCCTTTGATTCCCTCCTAGTTGGACTTTTTTGCGCTATATTTGCCGAGGGCAAATCTGTGTAAATCTAATTTTTCCTTCAGTGATTATGACATTTCCTCTTGTTTGTGCATTAATATTACTTAAGTAAAATTGAAGATGATGTTGGTTAGGCCCTGGGATATAAAGGGTTTATCTGCTGATGTCACTGCTCAGTAAGGGAGAATGTCGTTGCTCTCGTTGCTCACATGATATAATTTAATTTTAGTTTGGTATAATTTTAGTTAGATCTTGTTATTTTACCATGTTAAAAAATTACTAAAATATGCCAATAATTAAACCATAGTAAAAAAGTGAACTAACAAATGAAAATTATTGAGCTGCTTTTGGGAAACTTTAAAGAGCTCAAATTTGCCAAAAACATTTTTGAACAAGACTTGAGAACACGTCAGATCTCTGCCTTGTTTGTAGAAAACGCGGCTGCGAGCGATCAAGGTCTATGGGAACGCACGTTAAGTGCTGGCGTAAAAGACTCTGGGAAAGGTCGGAGTTTTCTACTTCGCTTTCCCCATGATCCCTTGCGCGGAACTAAAATCACTCCAATCGATCTCGATTACGTATCCCGGCGGTAGAGCGTGCCTGACGAGGTTCGAGGCAGCTTAAATCTTTAACTCGCAGAACGATGTGTGGCTCAGCTGCTTGAAAGTTAAACGTTTAAGGAAACCATTTAATGTCACCCTATTTTACAGGTAAAACTCAAACTGTTGACAAGACCGATGGAATTTATCTCATGGATCTGATTGCCCAACATTGTTCAAACGGTAATGGCAATGGTAATGGCAACGGTAATGGCAACGGTTATGGCAATGGTAATGGCAATGGTTATGGCAATGGTTATGGCAACGGTAATGGCAATGGTTATGGCAATGGTAATAGCAATGGTCATGGCAATGGTAATGGCAATGGTGGTAATGGCAACGGTAATGGCAACGGTTATGGCAATGGTAATGGCAACGGTAATGGCAATGGTTATGGCAATGGTAATGGCAATGGTTATGGCAATGGTAATGGCAACGGTAATGGCAATGGTAATGGCAACGGTAATGGCAATGGTCATGGCAATGGTAATGGCAATGGTGGTAATGGCAATGGTAATGGTTATGGCAATGGTAATGGCAATGGTTATGGCAATGGTAATGGCAACGGTTATGGCAATGGTCATGGCAATGGTAATGGCAATGGTGGTAATGGCAATGGTAATGGCAACGGTTATGGCAATGGTAATGGCAATGGTTAAGGCAATGGTAATGACAACGGTAATGGCAATGGTAATGGTAATGGCAATGGCGGCAATGGCCACGGCGATAATAAGGATCCCAAAAGTTTGACTTTAGAATGTTACTACAGTTACGAGGGCTCCCTCACTACGCCTCCTTGCTTTGAAACAGTACAGTGGATAGTTGTTAAAGACTACCTCCGTGCCTCTACCAACCAGGTATGTAATGCTCACTAATATAAATAACTTAGTTTTACAACTGAGAGGATATGACACTCTACAAGTATACTAGAGTGATTATACTTGAACCGTGTAAAAGGTAGTAGAATGCTACGCACTATTTTGCACTAATTCTGTTGTCTTCTTTCGTTTACCTCTGGCTTTCTTGCATTATTCGTTAGTATCCGTTTCACGGTTCAAGTAAAATCACTTTAAGATACGGAATCTGATTAAGACCGGTCAGGGTCACAATATATAGCGATGACCGCGGAGATAATTCTAGGCATGTATTGCGTTAACTACTATGCAGACCATTACAGGATACATTGAAATTATTGTCAATGCACTACCAAAAACTGTGTTTAAAACAGTCTATGATGCATCGTACGTCAAATTTTCTTATCACACCGGCGTCTTTACTTTTAAGTTGCATAGCCATAGGCATCGATAATGTTAGTTCAAATTGTGCTAGAAACAATTAGCTTAAACCAGATGATGGGTCGTAAGTTTCCTTACTTGATATATTTTACTTTTTTTTCGGTGTTTCAGCTTAACAAGTTCAGGAAACGTAAGGGTGAACATGGTAGAAATCCTCCTCTCACGTGCGACAACTACAGACCAATCCAACCACTGAATGACCGCACTGTTCACAAATAACGATTAGTATCAACTCCATGTGTAATGAAACAGATGAAGAAAACGCTAGCAGTAATCATAATGGTAAACATAACCATGCACTGTAACATTTGTTTAGTCAAACCCCGTTAATACGGACACTCTGAAGGCTGAGGGGGCACAGAAAGACTGTCACGAACGAAGTGTCCTTATTAAGGGCGTTGAATAGAGAGGAGAAGTGTGACGTCAAGTTACCATGGTAGCCAAATTTCTGGATGGCAACGACGACGGCGACAGTAACGAGAACGACAAAACAATAAACCGATAGGTTTAGATTAGCAAAACAACAACTTTACACGTGCATCACGCTCTTTTTCCACATTTCTTAGCCGTCCTTGCACGACTGCGAAATGAAACTTCCTAATTTCACGCGCCCGCTTTGCGGGACGATAAAAGATATAACAGGATAAAGAGGCTTAAATGCTATAGTTTCCGTTATGTTTACGAGTTTTTTGACAGTGTCGTTCTAAAGAGGGTAGTAAAAAAAAAATCACAAAATTACTTAGTAGGCATGCGCCGACGAAATCGCATTTTACTTGATGCTCAGCCACAATGAATAATACATTTCTTTTGTTTTGTTCTCGTAAGACTCAGAACCAATTATGAACTTTATTTTTAATATATCGAAATTGGTCTGTTATTTTCTTCTAAATCAAACACTTTTCTGTTGCCCTCATTTTCAAAAAGAGGCTTACAGTCAAACCAGGTCAAGCGTTCCCGTCGCTAACAAACTAATAAATTCATTAATGGAAAAATGATTTCGTTATTTGATTCAATAATCCATTCATAAAATGAATAATCCAACAGTCAAATTGGACCTCTATTCAATAATCATATGTTGATTTGGTTTATGAACAAAATCTACCTGTTCTTTATTCTTGTCTGTTGTGTTCAATCGTATTTGCTTCCTTTTTCCTGCCGTTTACGATTGCGTTTTTCATTGCCTTTAATCAAAATAACAACTAGAATAGACAGACCGCAAACGCAAAGAAACTATGAGAAACTGACAAAGGCCGAGGATCGAAATCCAGCAATCACCGCACATACACTGACCTTAGTTTGACCGTTGTGTTTTCTAAGAGGTCAGGCCTAGGTCTGTTGCACTGATTACTGCCAGCAAACTGGCGTACATGTAACAGTTTGTTTGGGTTTGAACTTCAGAACTCGCCAGCACTCGACTCTCAGAAAAAAAAGAGGAAAAAACAAAATTCTGAGGTCAACTTGTGGAAAGTGTAGTTTTTCAAAAAACAGTAATCGAATCAACATTCGATTATGGAATCGAGGCTAAATATGAATATTGGATTGTTCATTTTATGAATGGATTATTGAATCAACAAACGAAATCATTTTTCCGTGAATGAATTCATTAGTTCGTTAGCGACGGGAACGCTTGACCTGGTTTGACTGTAAAGCAAATTTCCAGACGTAGCTTAAAAGATCCTGGCATTGCTCATCCTTGACCTTGGAGTTTAATACTTGCATAATATCTCCAGTCTTACGGTCTCGTCATTTTAAAGCAGTGAATTAAACTTGCTGAGTCGAGAGCCTCAATGCTTTTTAAAATATTACGGGACCGTGAGACTTGAGTTATTATACAAAAGTAGAATATATAGCCTTTACGTTCAAAATGGCTCCTTGCGCATGCTCGAACAAAATTGTCATTGACAAATGGCACCGACAAGATGATACCTAGACTTAAATTTTCAGACGAAATGTATGGTTCCCAAAATATTTTTTGTGAAGGAACATCATATCATATTGATAAAATACAATTAGTTAATCAGTAAAATCACACCCTTAGCTCAAAGCGTATCGGGTGCTACAACCGTGGCTAATCTTGGAGCTACATATGAACGGGGAGTTCGATGGTCAAATACAGGAGTGCTCAAGGCATCCATATGCAACCCAGTGCTCTGTGTTTTTACCAAAATATAAAATATCAGCAAGTCTACAGCGACAAACCTTTGAGTGGTGCCGGATCGCCCAGTTGTAGACCTGGTTCAGTACAATAATAACTTGAAGAAAATCATAAAACAGCAAACTGTTCCTTACGGCAAGGCGATGAACAAGTAAACAGAAGAATAAAACAAAAATATCTATATATTTTACAAAAATTTTTAGCAAATTTGTTAAAAATATATATATACAGGGTGTCCCAAAAGTTCGTTCCTCTAATTTCATGCACTATAATTTTTGATCAAAACTTATTTTTACATGAAATTTCTAGAAGATGTTTATTTCTCTATCGAGAACATATGTTCAGAATTTCAGTAACTGGCATGCCCTTTTTGTTTTTGTTTTTGTTTTTTTTTTAATCACATTCTGTAGCCGTTGCAGCATGGTGTGGGACACGGCGTGTAGACCCACAGATGATCCATTTTGAACTTTTTTATCACCTGGTGCACAGGAGCCAGCTGAACCCCAAACAATGTTTGTTCACTTTCGGCAGCTGAAAAAAAAAATATTTTGGGCATTCATCTACGAAAGATAATCACCCGGGTCCCCTTCTACAGCAAGGCTTTTGTACTTCCTCAGAAATTTGAGAGGAGCTGAGGGTTACTTGGCAGATTAAGTAGAGGCTTTTTTTTAGTTTTGCCATCTCAGGGGCCTCCAATTAAAACATTCGTTCGCTTTTCACGAACCCGTGCTGGACTTGGCACGCTTATGTGAGAGCTTCCTGGTCTAGTCTCCTATTTTGTATCTAGCCTTCTTTAAAACTATTTTTGCTGCTTTATTCGGGACTCTTGGTCTTCCCCTTCGTTTCTTACTTTCAAAACCTTCATTACTCCATGATCATTTTACCACCCAACATTCGGATTTTCCCAGTTTTTAGCAGTTTCTACAACAGATAAGCCACCAAATCGAAGTATACATGCTTACCCTCTCACGTAACGGAACGTTTTTGCGAAAAGGGGGTTGATCTTTCATGATATTCACAAAATACAAGGAAGGAATTCAAGCAATTCGGACTATAAAATACAAAAAATATATGGCTGGAAAATATACTCGCGCACGCGCACCTGTGGCGCGGAAGTACACAAATCGAATATTCGAGTCAAAAGATGGAACAACAAGTATGATATTAGTGAATTAGATTGAAAGACACCACTTTTGTTTAAATGATTTGCTTACCAAGTCCAATCGTACTTAAATACGGACTTATAAAGTAGTTGTTTTGTTCTTTTGGTTACTTCTTTATCACCTTGCCGTAAGGACCAGTTTACCGTCAATGACGAGGCTCGAAGAGCGAAATATATTGCGAGGATTTTTAAACTTCTAGAAGATTTTTATTTTTACATTTTACATCTCGTATACGTGCGTCGAATGTGGTAAAGACGTGATGTCTTATTCTGCAAGTAATTCAAGTTATTCGAACACATTCCTAGTCTCGGCATTTACAGTTTCTTAAAAATGATGTAAAGTCTCAATGTAATTATTGCTACTCAGAACTATTTTTAAGAAAACATTTGGAGACAGGTTATTATAACGGGTGATAAACTTTAGAACAAATTGTCCTCTGATATAAGAGCAATAAAAAAAATTATTTTTTTAAAAAACTCTTCTTATAACGCATCATTTAATAACAACGACAGTCGTTACCGTACGTTCGATTAATATTTTAATCATTTTAAGAATTTTATATTTTTTAAAAGTGATTCTTTAGTTAAATTTCACTGTCTATTTAAGAGTTCGTTTTAATACTCAATTTATTTAGTTTCACTTGGCTTCATTGCAAGGAGCACTAGATCATAATTATTTACATGTCAAATTTTGAGTTATATAAAAGTAGTAATTAAAATTACTATAATTAATATTAAGAATAAAAGATTACGTGATACTCATGTGGGTATTTCGAGGCAACATTTGGTGAGTTTGGTGAGGAAACGAAATTTAAAACTGTTTTCTAAGTACTGGGCCATCATCGCTGAGCTAGCGATTCTACACTACCGTTTTTTTCTTTACAACTCAATATCGTTGACACCTTGTACAAAAGCAAAGTTAACATTATTTGCACGTTATTGAGAAATTTTACTATTTAAACAGCAAGAACGTGTGAAGTGCAACTGACACTGAAGTGTCACAATCAGGTGTTCTTTGTAAATATTATAGCTTTGCATTTGCTTAAAAGCCTTTGGTATGGCCCGATATTTACATAGAAATGATTTAAACTGCGCATAATTCGAATTACTAAAACGTCTCTTACAGACGATCGATATAAGGAACAACTTACCTTACGAATTACGGCTGCTGAAGCGAACGATATATTCTAGAAATACTTTGGCATTTTTTCTTCTTGTCTGATTTCCGAGAAAGCCGCAAGGAGGAGTGATTAACAGCTAGCTCTCCAAAGTAGATCTCAAAGATCCGCCCAAAGCGAGACCAAGTGTCTCACTTGTCCCAGTTTGTCAAGGCCTTGAAAACTCGCTTGGACTACTTCACCCGAAACGCATCGGACCGCGTGCAAAAATGAGGCCTTAGGGGACAAAGCAAATTCAATCGTAAAACTCTGGGAAGCTCAAAGCATTTGCATGCAACCCGGGCGTCTGCGGTTTTAGCGGGGCTTAGAGCTCTTCGCATACTCAGCATAATATACTTCAAGATATATCGGATAATGTAAACTAGATAGGGTCTAAATACACTGTGTCCATACCACCCTCAGCGTTAGAAATTATGTTAAGCCTAACTAAAGATATCTGTGCTTAAGAAGACTTAACCTGAATTTAGAATTTAGGATGGTATAATAACCCACAAAGACTACCTAATTACGTCAGGGGCACCCAACGTCAGTTTTTGGAAAATATCTGTTCGGAAGACGATTTGAGATCTAGAATTTTCGGAACATTTGTTGTAAAATGTCTTGCTTGCCTGGCTCTCCTAGGATTTTCAAACATCTAAATAATGGTATAATTGCTCATGTTTAACTGATTTTTACCCTAAAAAGGTCACCTAGAACTTTCGGTAGGCTTTTTTCCGGCTGAAAT